ACAGTCTAGTAGTAGTAACTACATTCCCATTGCTGTACAAGCATCACCACGATCAATCTCTACAAGTTGTTTCATCTTCCCAAACTGAAACTATATACCCATGAAATAACCCCCATTTCCTCTTTCCCCACTCAAATGCTGGCAAACAGCATTCTACTTTCTGTCAATATGAATTTGATTGCTCTGGGTACCTCATATAAATGGAATCATACAGTATTTTTATAATTTTTGCCTTTTGATCTATCCTATTCTCTGCAACCTTGTTGAATTTGTGTATTAATTTGTTTATTAGCTTTAGTAATGGTTTTGTAGATTCTTTCAGATTTTCTTTGTATAGAATTGTGTCACCTGTGAACAGAGACAATTTTACAACTCCCTTTCTAGTTTGAATGCCTTTTGGGTTTTTTTCTTACCTAATTTCTCTGGATAGAACTTTTTTGATTGTGGTAAAAAAGTAACATAAAATGCAGCATATTAATCATTTTTAAGTGTACAGTACAGTAGTGTTAACTATATTAACCTTATTGTGCAAATGATCCCTTTTCATCCTGCAAAACTGAAACTCTTCACCCACTGAACAACAACTCCTCTTTCCCCTGCTCTCCGCAGTCCCTGGAAATCACCCTTTTACTTTTGTTTCTAAGAGTTTGGCTTTTTAAAGTACCTCACATAACTAGAATTATGCAATGTTTTTCTTTTTGTGACTGGTTTCTCTCATTTAGCATAATGTCCTGAAGTTTCATTCATGTTGTATCATGTGACAGGATTTTCCTTTTTAAAAGACCGAATAATATTTCATTGTATGTATGCGCCACATTGTAAAACTCCATGCATCTATTAAGGGAGAGTCAGGTTATTTCTACCTCCTGGCTATTGTAAATAATGCTGCCATGAACATGGGTGTGCAAATCTATATTCAAGATATTTTTTCAGGTCTTCTGGATATATACCCAGAAGTGAGATTGATGGACCATATTTGGGTAGTTCTATTTTCAAATTTTGGAGAAAGTCCCATAGTGTTTTTGATAGTGGGCGTACCATTTCACATCCTCACTAGTGCACAAGGGTTCCAATTTCTTTATTGTTTTTTTTTTTTCCTTAATAATGGCCATGCCAACAGGGGTGAGGTGATATTGTGGTTCTGATTTGCATTTCCCTGATGATTAGTATCTTAGTTCAGGCTGCTATAACAGAGTACCATAGACTGGATAGCTTAAAGAACAACTGTTTATTTCCCACAGTTCTGCAGACTGGGAAGTTCAAGGTAAAGGTGCTGGCAGATTCAGTGTCTGGTGATGGCCCTCTTCAAGATGCCTGTGAAGCACCAGGAACACAGAAGAGCTTCAAGCCTCTGTTCGACACCAAGAGCTAGCACCCGATAGGAATATGGGAAGGGAGGCTCACAGTCAAGAAGCAGGAGTTTTAGGGTTGTTTCTGCTAGTGCTGTAAAAACACCATTGTCGTTTCCCTAAGGACTCACTGCATTGAACCTGTAACAGCTTTGGGTAGCATAAACGTGTTAAGCATCTTCCCATCTATGAACACAGGATGTGTCTCCATTTATTGGTCTTCTGCATGTTTCATCAGTGTTCAATCTGTTTCAGTGTGCACACCTTTCACCTGCCTGGGTAAACGTATTCCAAAAGGTTTTATTCTTGTCCTGGCATTCTAAGAATACACTGGTTTTCTGGGTGTGTTTTTCAGATAGTTTGTTGTTCGGGCATAGAAATGAGGGTGATTTTCACATGTTACTTTTGCACTCTGTAACTTTGCTGACTTTGTTTATTGGTTGTGACCGTTTTTTGGTGCTGTGTCCATCAGGGTTTTCTCTATGTGAGATCCTGTCACCTGCAGCTAGAGAAAATTGAGCTTCTTAGTTTCCAATTTGCTTGCTTTTTGTTTTTTTTTTTTTCTAGAATAGGTAATCAAATCGGCATGTAGCTGTCCCACTCCACACCCTCCTAGGTTTTGGAATTGAAAAACACCTCTTGTTTAAGGTACATCCTAGTACTCCTTTGGCGCATTGGAGCCTTCACAGATCCTTCACTCCATGAATCAGCCTGTTCTCCCTCAAGGGAGGGCACCCCAATTAATTTGATTCTCAAGTGAGGGCATACATGGGCGCCGGCTCGTATGCCTGCACACACACACACACACACACACACACACACACACGGGACACAGCCTCATGCCGATTTGATCATGTATTGTAAGAAAAAGAAATAAAAGGCGCCCAAATTAGAAAATAAGAAGCTCAATTATCTATGCTTGCAGATGACATGATCTCACAGAGAGAAAACCCTAATGTACACTGCACCAAAAAAAAAAAACAACAACAACAACAAAAAAAAACAATCAAAACCGGTAGACAAAGTCAGCAAAGTTGCAGAATGGAAAAGCAACATGCAAAAGTCACTGGCATTTCTATGCCCTAAAAACAAACTATCAAAAAAAGACACCCGGGAAACCAACGTATTTAGAATACCAGGACAAGAATAAAACACATTGGAACACATTTATCCAGGGGGGTGAAAGGTGGGCACACTGAAACCAGTCAAACACTGATGAAACACATAGAAGACTAATAAATGGAGACACTTCCCGTGGTCATGGACAGGAAGATGGTTAACACCTCCATGCTACGGAAAGCCATTACAGGTTCAACACAGTGAGTTCCCAGGAAAACAACAATGGTGTTTTTCGCAGCACTAAAACCCCTGCTTCTTGACTGTGGGCCTCCCTGTCCATGTTCCTATCTGGTGCTAGCTCTTGGTGTGGAATGGAGGCTTGCAGCTCCTCTGTGCTCGGGGTGCTTCACGTGCATCACGACATTTAAGCTCCCAAGCTGATGTGCTGGGGGTGGCTCTCCCCTCCACCCCCATCTTACAGACGGGACACGAAGGATCAGAGACATGGCTCTCATTGGAAAGTAGGTGCCCGGTTAGAAGTGGCAGGACAGGAAGAAAGAGGTAGATCGAGAGCTCCAGTGCACACTTGCCGGAAGACACGACCCAAGTACACCCACCCAGTCAAACCATGGGCGTCAGGGCAATCCAAGAGTCTACATCCCTACTGGTTAAAGCCCAGAGGTCTTGTCCAACAAAAGGCACGCTGGTTGGCAAAGGGGGGACCAATGAGAAGACGTGGCTCAGGTATAGCTGGCGCGTGGAAGCCGTGCACTGTCGGGGACATCTCCTATTTCCGCCTGTGGTGAGGGTAGTGGTGTCCCGAAGGCTGGGTTCCATTCTCCCTTCCCACCATTATCAGGACGACCGTCTCCCTACAGCCCAGGCTGCCCGGACTGGCACCATGAACTTCCCTGATGAGGTGTCAGTTTGGGGGACTGGTTTTAACCTGGAGGGTGGCCAGCCAGCTGGTGCCCACACAACCAGTCCTGGAGCCCCACCGGGCCATGGCTGTGACCTGGATTTTGGCATGCCGCGCAGCAGCAAGGGCGAGAGCAGGTTCACAGATCCTGAGGGCTTCAGCTTCGAGTCTGAGAGTGAAATGATAGAGTAGGGAAGGGTGGTGCTCTTGGGTCAGGGAGGCAGGCCTGGGACCCGGTCAATGACCAAGGGGCTGGTGTGGACTACTCCTCCTACCCAGCAGAGGAGCCAGCCGCCATCGTGCCACCACCCAGCATCCAGAGACACCCGTCCTTAGAAGTCGCTGCTGACAAAGGGTCTGCCGACATTTGGACGGACCCGAAGGTTGGTCCTAGCGGGAGAGGCGCACTGGGCCATAGCCCTGGAAAATGGCAACAGGTCTCCATCGGCTCTCTCTACCTCAGTGGTCCTGGGACAGGCCCAGCTTGGGAGAACCTGGAAAGGGGCTCAAAGAGCAGACAGAGTGTCCAAGTGGATCCCCAGCAGCCCTCCGAGAAAGGCCCCGCCAGGCTGTCTACCCACGAGTCTGATTCTCAGGGCAAGCCCAGAAGCCCCAAGAAGCCAGCAGACACTTGCAGACTCCCGAGTTTCCACCGCAGGGAGAGCAACCATCAAGTTCAGGACCCTCTCCTGATCTCTGCTCCCCACAGACTCACTCCAGCCGTGGAGGGGCCCGCCGTGGGAAAGCTGGACGCGTCTTCCTCGAAGAAAATGCGGAGCACGGCCTGGGGAAAGGTGGGGGTCAGGCCCAGCTGCTCAGGAGCTGCCGTTACAGGGCCAGTACCCCGGGGCTCTCCAGGAAAGAAGGTGGCCCAGGACAAGAAATCCCTAGGGGGTGAGCCAAAACGGGCCCCGGAGGGAGCCTTTCCTGCCTGGGGGCAGAGACGTTCAACAATTCCGCAGGATCCGGCCAGCTTTCCGCCAGTCTCTGGTGTGGGTCTCCTGGGGAAGTCCGGGAGACCCAAGGAGCTCAAGCACTGCAGCCCTGGGAAGAAATCTGCGGGAAGAAAAACCAGAGAGTCCCAGGCTGCGGCCAGAGAAGATAATGACACGAATAGAGATGAGGTCCCAAGGGCCCAAGTGAGTAGGTCCTCTTTGCCGCACTCCTCCTTCTCCTCCTTGTTCTCCTCCTCCTCTTCCTCCTCTGTCTCCCCATGGCCCACCTCTCTTCCAGCACACACCTCTTTACCCATGCCTCCTCTATCCCTTGCTCGAGGGTTGTCATCGGGAGCCCAGGGACACTAGGAGGCCCGATTGGGGTCCTCCTCGTAGGGGCACACATTAAAGGCGGCACTCGGTGTGTGCCAGGCCCGGCTCTGGACACTGCAGTTGTCCTGCCTCCTCCCCCAGGAGGAGCTGGGATGGAAGGCTCCTACCCCAGAGAGAAGCTGGTTTGGATCGGGGGACCCCTGAAAGTGTGGGCCGCAAAGCTTGGGCCTCTAGACTCATCCTCTTCCCAATTCCTCCTTCCCTAGCTGTTACGCAAGCCCTCCTGTCGTGGGGCTGACTGAGGGAGAAAGTGCTAATGAGATTAGTCTGGAGTCCCCACCTTAACACAACCCCTCCTCACGTGTACTTACCGCCAGCCCCACTCAGAAATTGTTGTTTCAGCTTCCCACACACAAGCCAGAGGTGATTTCCCTGTCCATGCCTCGTGGAGAATGCAGCAGTGGGGACCCCGCCATCAGAGCTCCCCAAGTTCCAGGAACCTCACAGCCCTCGGCCTTGAGCGTGAGACGTCTCGTACCCACACCCCGTGAGTCTTGTGGGTTTGACAGGGGTGGAGGGGAGAGGGGTTAGGGAGGGAAGCCTCTAGCTCTGTCTCTTCTGGAAGCTCAGCCTTGCTCCCAGGCGTCCCTGCCCAGCCAGGCAGCTGTCCCAGGGGAAATGGGGTGTCTACTGGGCTGGCCTGAAGCCACATGATCCTCTCTGAGTGGGATTTGTGCGGTGGGGGGCGATTTGGAGCAGCACCCCAGACTCCAACTCTGGAAGGAGACTTTCAGCGGCACTGAGCCCTTTTCTGTTAAGTCCTGCTCGGCCACACTGCCCCTCCCAGGGCCTGGCTGTGGCGGCCCCGCTGCTGGCATCCTACCAGGAGCCACAATGCTAGGGGGCCACAGGTGCACATGGGCTCACACTGGGGAACAGGGAAGGCAGTCCCACCGGGAGGGCGAGGGTTGGAGCTGCTGGGCAACGTGTTGCCAACACAAGGTGATGCTGCCTCACCTTAGACCCTTCTAGGCCCTTTCCACCTCACTAGGAGGCTTGGAAGCTGGATTTTTGTGTTCTCTTTCAGGTGACCAGCAGCCATCTGTTCGTCCCTCAAGACCGGAAGGGCAGCAGCAGCCTCCGGGAGCCCCGCACTGTCCTCGGGTAATGGTTTGTGTGGTTCATAGTAATTCAGGTCCACAGTAGGTGGTGGGACCCGTGTCCAGGTTAAACTGATTTCTATGTCCACCCAACCCCCACCCCCCGCCGCCAACCCACTCTGCCTTCCATACCTTATGGAGAGTGGGCGCCTCTTTTCCATTCAGGGTTCTGTGCCAACCCATCTCACCACCAGGCTACAGGCTCTGGGGGCTGTAAGGGCTGGCGGATACAGGGAGGATGGGGAGAGAGCAGGTTAGAATAGGCTAACCATTTATCTTCCTCTGGTGTCTCCTGGGCTAGTGCATCCTGCTACGAAGAGAAATTGAGGACCTTAGAGACCGACTAGGTATGACGGAGCCCTGGCTGGGGCAGGGATGGGCAGCGCTGTCTTTCTGCAGGTGCCGAGGGTGGGGCTGGGGTGCAGGTGCAGGCCGCATCACAGGGACTGACTTTCCCCTGGGGAAGAGAACCAAGCAGGCCTGGCCCTGGAGCCTTCCGTGCCTTTCCAGCTGGGGTGTGCACAGACAGCAAGGGTCGTCTGAACTCCATGTACACTTTGTCCATGAGTCCCAGAGATCTCCTTCTCTTAGGGCCATTAGAGATACCGCATGTGTTTTCCCTTTAACTGCTGCCTGGTACGGCTTGTGCGGTTTTTGCTTGGTGGCTGTCGTATCTGTCTTGGAAATACGTTCTGAACGGTTCTGGGATGCCCCAACACCTGAGAACCACTTTCCCGCTTAGAAGGCATTTCCACCTTAGCTTCAGGTGACCGGTGGGTGAGTCAGTCCCAGGGCTGGCGGGGTTATGGGTTGCAGGGCTAGGTGGTTCCCCACGGTGCAGTGGGGGAAGGGGTGGGAGAGGGAAAGGATGGGTTTCTGTTTCCCTGGGTCTGGAGTGCTCAGTTCTGCCTCTCTGTTTCAGCCGTCATGATCTTCCTCATGTATAAATTTCAGGACATTTGACATGAGTGCTGCACACGCCATGCCCCTTCCCACAATCCCGGTAGCGTAGGAGGCCTGTGTGCTGGCCCTGGCTGGGGGCCTGTCCCTGAGGCTGCTCTGTTTCACCGGATGGAGCCAGCGTCTTCCTACAAGCAGCTGCTGCCTTTGGAGTTCCTGAGGGGCAGCCAAGTGGGTTCCCTCCATATCTTCATCAGCCAGGGCTCCCCTCTTCTGACACATTTCTCCCCTTTTCAAAGCAGTTTGAAATAAAGTCGTTCTCAGGTTGTATTATGTGGTCTGCTCTCTGCAATTGTTGGGAGTGTTGGGGGGTGCGGGGTGTTGCCTGGTTCCCTGGCGCTGGAAGAACAGTTCCCCTGGAGTTCTGTGGTCAGCCTCTGAGCAGCAGTCCTGCACTGGGGCTCACCGTAGTGCCCTGGGTCCAGGTGCTGTGGGGGTCCTGTCTGGTCACAGGAGCATTTCCTCCCTTTCCCTGACATGCCCTGCTCATGGTTCCTCCTCTTGTCCTCCCACTTTGGGGTCTCACAGGTCCCCTTCTTCAGCGCTTTTCTCCCTCCCCTGCAGCAGGAACTGACAGCCGTCTTCCAGAGTCCTGGTCTCTCTCACCTTTCCTCCTGCGATTCACTGTCACAGTTCTGCCCTGTCACTGTCCTTTCCATCACCAGCATTCTTGCTTTCCCCCCGAGACCTGATGCCACAGACCTTACCTGCACGGTTATTTCTGTGCTGTGGAGGATCACTGAGCTCATCTTCCCTCTCAGGTGACAAGTCCTCTTTCTGGAGCCGTTATGTCCCTCTGATGCCACCACACACAAAAGTCACCTGGGCCAGAAACCCACACAGCATCCTCAGTTCCTCGATTAGCCCTCACCTTTGAACCTCACCCAAATTCCGGCAGGTCTCCCAACTTAGTGTCAGTAGCCAGTTGGAGGCAGAAGCCACATCCCGGTGGGTGGCTGAGCAAAAGGGAAGGCACAGGAGGCACGGATGAGAAGGGCGGGGTAGTCTCTTGGTTGAAGGTGGGGGCACTGAGTCTGTTCTGCAGCCTGCAGGCCAACCTGGTGGAAACTGCTCACCTGCAGCTACACGGTAGGTGGCTTCCACATCCTTGGTGCCCTATAGGCGGCCAACAGCTCCTTCTGCAGTTGGTCGACTCCATACCCTTGATTTGAAAATGGCCACCTGGTTTCCAGGGCAGATGTGGATACAGGGATTTCACTATGTTGGCCAGTCTGGTCTCGAATGGCTGACCTCAAGTGATCTGCCCACCTCAGCCTCCCAGAGTGCTGGAATTACAGGCATGTGCATACCTGGTCCTGTGTGTTTGTTTCACGTGTGTGTGTGTGTGTGTGTGTGTGTGTGTGTATGCATGGGTGCCCATGCTGCACCCGCTTGGGAATCAAATTAATCAGGGGTGCTCTCCCTTGAGGGAGAAAGGGCTGATTCAGAGTGTAGGCACTGGTGAAGGGTTTGTGAAGGCTCGAATGCACAAAACCAGGGCTGGGATCTACCTTAAACAAGAGGTCTTTTTCAATTCTAAAACCTAGGAGGGCATGGAGTGGGACGAACTCTTAGAAATAAAAACTCTGGCCTGCCAAACCACCATACCCACATGCCAATCAACCCTTGTGGGCACAACCATGTGACTATTTGATCACCTATTCCAAGAAAAAGAAATAAAAAGCAAGCAAGTTGGAAACTAACAAGCTCAAATTTCTCTGCCTGCAGATGACTTGATTTCACATAGAGAAAACCCTGATGGACACTGCACCAAAAAACAGTCACAACCAATAAACAAAGTCAGTAAAGTTACAGAGTGCAAAAGCAACATGTGAAAATCACTCACATTTCTATGTCCAAACAACAAACTATCTGAAAAAGACACCTGGGAAACCAACGTAGTTAGAATACCAGAATAAAAATAAAACCCTCTGGAATACATTTATCCAGGGAAGTGAAAGGTGTGTACACTGAAACCCGCCAAACACTGATGAAAGACGCAGAGACCAATAAATGGAGACATATCCCATGTTCATGAACAGGAAGATGATTAACATGCCCATGCTACCCAAAGCCTTATAGGTTCAATGCAGTGAGTCCCTAGGAAAATGACAATGGTGCTTTTCACAGCACTAGCAGAAACAACTCTAAAACCCCGGCTTCTTGACCGCGAGCCTCTCTGCTTGTGTTCCTATCAGGTGCTAGCTTTTGGTGTTGAACAGAAGCTTGAAGCTCCTCTGTGTGCCCAGTGCTTCTCATGCATCATAAAGACAGCCATCACCAGACACTATCAGCCCCTTTACCTTGAACTTCCCAGTCTGTAGAACTGTGGGAAACAAACAGTTGTTTTTTTATTTTTTCCATTTATTTATTTTATTGCATTTTAGGTTTTGGGGTACATGTGAAGAACATGCAAGATTGTTGCATAGGTACACACACGGCAACGTGATTTGCTGCCTTCCTCCCCATCACCTACCTCTGGCATCTCTCCCCTTGCTGTCTCTCCCCAGCTCCCCACCCCCCACCATCCCTCCCCTATTTCCCCCCAACTGATCCCAGTGTGTAGTGCTCCCCTCCCTGTGTCCATGTGTTCTCATTGTTCAAC